ATGCTATTTTCGTCGCTGGTTTGCATGACATGGGTTATCAAGGCCCGGACTTCACTTGGTATAGAGGAAATTGCGCTGTCCTTTTAGACTGTGGCCTTTATAATGACTCTTGGTTAGAAGTCTTTCCTGACTCTATTATCCTCCACCTGCTCCGTATGAAGTCGGATCATCGGCCCCTTCTCTTCACCATTTGCCCACCAACCTCTCGTCATGCATGCAATCACTTTCGTTATTTCTCTGGTTGGACTTAGCATCTCTACTTTGAGCGCTGTCAACCATTGGAATTCTTCTGTTTTTGGATCTATCACCAAACGGAAAAGGAGTCCTATGGCGCGGCTTAGAGGTGTCCAGTGTCGATTGGATCAACACCGTTCTTCTCATCTTGTCCGCTTGGAATCTTATCTCCAGCTTGAGCTTGAACAAACTCTAGACCAGGAAGAACTCTTATGAAAACATAAAGCTCACTCCGACTGGATTAATCTTGGTGACAGCAATACGCCTATTTCCATAAGAAAGCTACTCTTCGCAAGCGTGCTAACTGTGTCACCTCTCTCAAGCTCAGTTCTGGTAAAGCTCTCTTCGCAATACCGCCTATTTCCATAAGAAAGCTACTCTTCGCAAGTTGGTGTAATGACCAACAAATCTTGCGTGAGGAAGTTTCCTCTTTCTTCCAGCATCTCTTTGAAGTCGAAGGCCCCTCCCCTGGTAAAGCTCCCTTTTCGGGTCTCTTTCCACGCATCGACTATTCGGACATGGAGCCTCTTGAACGTATTCCCGATCCCTCTGAAATCCGAGATGCTCTCTTTTCTATGGCTCCTCTCAAGTCTCCTGACCTCGATGGCCTCCACGCCCACTTCTTCCAAAAGCATTGGCACATTGTTGGTGCTTCTATTTGTAAGATGATTCAAGACAGTTTTCGGAACCAATTTATTGATCCTCAACTCAATGCCACTTCTCTGATTCTTATACCAAAGGTGCCGAGCCCTTCAAGCTTCAAAGATTTCAGGCCTATAAGCCTGTGCTCAGTTCTTTACAAATTGGTAATCAAGATCCTTGTGCGACGAATAAAACCCATTATGCCGTGACTTATTGCTCCCAATCAAACAAGCTTCCTCTCCGGCAGGAATATTTCTAAAAACATAGTTATCAACCAAGAGATTATTAATTCGTTGAAATCAAAGAAAGTGAAGAGTGGTTGGATGGTTCTTAAAATCTCAAAAAGGCCTTTGATCGTTTGCAATGGGACTTCATAACCGATTCCCTCCAAGAGGCCAACTTCCCACCTATTTTTATCCGGCTGATTCACAATTGCATTTCATCGACAACTATGCAAGTTCAATTCAATGGCATTCTTAGTCGACCTTTCAAACCTTCTAGGGACATTCGTCAAGGTGACCACATCTCTCCATACCTCTTTGTTCTAACCATGGAGAGGCTTGGTCATGCCATCTCAACTGCGGTGGATCGAGGTGCTTGGAAGCCTTTTCGACTTGCTATAGATGAAACTTCCATATCGCACCTATCTTTTTGCCGATGACTTATTTTATACGCTAGAGCAACCTTTGATCAAGCTATTCTAATTGACTCAATCTTATCCGATTTTGGGAAGTACTCCGGGCACAATGTTAATAAAGCTAAAATCCCAAGTTTTCTTCTCTCCTAATTCAAATGATGCCACCGCCCAAGCCAAAAGCACTAAGCAGGCACCTCGGCTTCCTTAGAGTTGCGGATCTTGGTACCTACTTGGGAGTTCCTGTATATTAGTTGTCATGCAATTTGCGGCATCAATAATGGTTCATAGTTGAATAATGCATTGAAAGTTGACAACAATAATGGTTCATAGTTGGCACCAATAATGGTTGAAAAGTGACATAGGAAAGTTGCACATTTTAGTCATTGTACTTTAGGATATTTATAGATTATTCCCTAAGCTTCAACTATAAATACCCTAACTCATTTAGCTTCAAAATCATCCCAAAGCATTCTAGCTTTCTCCCAATACTAGAGAATTTAGAGAGTTTCTTGATAGTTGTTTTCTCCTTTTTATCAAGAGAGAAGTTGTAATTCCTATTTTCTCATAGTGAAATTCTTCTACATTTGCCCGTGATTTTTACCATATATTATTTAGGGGTTTTCCACGTAAAATTTATGTCTTCTTTATCTTTATTTTTTATTTTCTCAAATTATCAGTTGAGATTTTGCTCTATCCGATAGTCGTATTCCGTAACAATTGATATCAGAACCAGATTAAAGTGTGTAATATCTACTTATTGTCTTTGTGGTTGCTACCAAAAGGTGGATCCTCCAACATAAGAAAGTAAAAAGGTATTACTCATTCTTTGAAGGTTCTAGAGAACTATTCACGATAGTGAAATAGTGGGAGCTATCTGTATTAGAAGCTATGACAACGAAATTTGATATTAAAAAGTTTAATGTGAGAAATTTCTCATTATGGAAATTGAAGATGAAGGTCATCCTGAGGAAAGACGGTTGTCTAGCAGCTATCAGTGAAAGGCCGGTAGATTTCACAGATGACAACAAATGTATAGAAATAGACGGGAATGCTATGGCAAACTTTCATATAGCATTAGCAGATGAAGTATTGTCAAGCATCGAGGAGAAGAAGACAGCTAAGGAGATATGAAATCATCTCACCAAACTGTACGAGGCCACATCGTTGCACAATAAAATTTTCCTTAAGAGGAAATTGTACACTCTCTGTATACCAGAATCTACTTCAGTGACGGAGCACTTAAACACGCTGAACACTTTATTTTTCTCAGCTTACATCCTTAATTTGTAAAATAGGAGAACAAGAATGTGCTGAACTTCTACTTCAAAGTCTACCAGATTCGTATGATCAACTTATTATCAACTTGACAAATAGTAATGTCACCAGTCTAGTCTTCGATGACGTTGCAGCTACTGTTCTACAAGAAGAAAATCGGCGCAAGAACAAGGAAGACGGACAAGTAAATATGCAATAAGCAGAAGCGTTGACAACGATGAGAGGGAGATCAACAGAACGTGACCAAAGTAGTAGTCACAAACATGGTAGATCAAAGTCGGGAAGCAAGAAGAATTTAAAGTGCTAAAACTGTGAAAAGAAGGGTCACTTGAAGAAAGATTATTGGAGTCTAAATAAAAACTCCAATCCACAAGGCAATACCGCAAACACTTCAGATGATGGAGATGTTCTATGTTGTGAAGCGTCAACCACCGTGGAAGGTAGAAAAAGATTTGCAGATATATGGCTCATTGATTCAAGAGCAACATATCACATGATCTCAAGAAGAAAATGGTTCCATCACTACAGCAAAATTGTTCTGTAGCAGTGTTTTTAGCGGCGTTTGGAGAGTAAACGCCACAAAATTTAAGCATATAGCGGCGTTTATAATCCAAACGCCACAAAACGATACTTTAGCGGCGTTTCTTAAACAAACGCCGCTATAAAGTAGTACTTTAGCGGCGTTTTTATACAAATGCCGCAATAGGGATCGTTTATAATGGCGTTTTTCTAACAAACGTCGCGATAGATTAGTACTTTAGCAGTGTTTTTATACAAACGTCGTAATAGGGTTTGTTCATAGTGGCGTTTTTCCAACAAAATGTCGCAATAAAGAGTACTTTAGTAGCGTTTTTATACAAATGCCACAATAGGGTTCTTTAGCGGCGTTTATGCAAAACAATATTGCGACGACGTAGTACTTTAGCGGCGTTTTTCTACAAACGCCGCTACAAACACTACACAAAGTGAAACAATAGAGCCGTTTTCAAAACAAACACCGTAATAAATCAGTGAATTAGCAGCATTTTTAAATACAAATGCCATAAAATAGTAACATTAGCGGCGTTTTAAAAAAAACGCCGCAAGAAATCAGTGCATTAGTGGCATTTTTAAACAAACGTCGCAATAAGTTAGTGAAGTAGTGGCGTTTTAAATACAAACGCTGCAAGTTTTGGATATTTTATCATCAAAGGTTTCTCCGTTTACCCAACAATAGCTACGAAAGGGGGATTTCTATCGGATACTTCTTTTTCCCCTCTCTAATTTCTCATTCACTTCTTTGTTTTGTTTCTCTTTAAATTTAAAAATTTCTAGGCTTGCTTTAAAATCTTCAAAGGCGTTCTACCTTGGATTTCATTTTCCTTATTTTTTCCAAATTATTTTTGTGATGTTTTCGTTTCAAGTTCTTGTGTAAAAACTGAACCCTAACCCATTTTCCCAATTTTCTTCGCGGATCCGCCTCTTCTCAAGTTCTCATCCTATTTGATTTCCTCTGTCCTTTGACCCTTTGAACAGAAAGCCAAGCGGGGGGCGTTCTGATTTGCGAGGTTTTAGCCTTAACCTCTTCTCATTCTATGGTTTTTTCAGCATTGCACCTTGTTTTCCTCCTGTTTTGCTTAATGCAGTCAATTGCTAACCGCTTTATTTTTCGATTGCAGTTTGGGCTGAGTAATTTTCTTGTTTGTTTGCCGGGAAAACTCAAGAAAATGCTCTTTTGATTGATCGTTGTTTCAGCGAAAGGTGAGCCAAGTACAGTTATTTTCTTTGCTATGGTGTCACCGAGATCATTTAATTTGACGAATTAATAAAAATTTTGTAAATTAAGAGAGGATAAAATCTTCTCATTATTCTTTCTGGTTATGTTCTTTTTTATCTAGACACATTTGCAGGAAATAAACTTTCCTTATTAAACAAAAGGCTTTCAGAAAGATATTTTGTTGAATCAAAGCCTATGATTTTCATTTTTGCTAGATGGAGAACACAGTTTAAACATATACATATGTGGCTTATGGAACTTGGAGTGTTAATAATTAGAAGTATAACTATAAGTACAAAACAAACAATTCCAGTTATATTATCACTGCAAGCACAAAACAAAACTTTGATGGCAATTATAGTCATATAGTGAACAACAGAGCATCATTTTCATTCTGCAGCTACATGCTCACCATCATTTCCCCCAGTCTTGGTATCTGCCGAAGTCCTAATATCGTCACTTGCATTGTTGTCCTTGTAGGTCTTTGAAGTATTTATTTTTGTCATTCTCAGCCGAATTCCCATTGTTGTGAGTGTTGCTTTGAGCAGCATTGTTGTTTTCATTCTGACCTGCATTTTCATTATTGTAGGTATGAGACGTATTAGTTTTATCCTGATTTGTGGTTTCCTGGTTATTTGTGTTTCCCTGAACACCCTCATTGTTATCATTCTGGCTTGCATTGTCATTGGTGATGTTGTTGTCATTGTTTAAATTCTGGGAAGCATTATTCTCGTTCTGACCTGCAATTTCTTTGTCAGCATAGAAATCTCGTTCTACTATTTTTTGTTGATCATTGATAAAACATGCTATATTATTTCCAATGGCAGGATCATGCTAAAGGATCATGCTATATTACATGAAACATTCCTTTAATGTTTTATCTAATACATCTGTTTCAGCAATATATATATCCTTCAATTATTAATACATTGCTTTTTTTTGTGTTATCCAAGTGCTATGGCAGGTTTGTATCATTTGATTTTTAAAATTGTTCTTGTTTCTGAATCCTCTAGGTGTATCTGTTCATATTTATTTCCGTGTTAAAAGTATTTTACTTCAGCATTTTATGTCTATGTAGGGGCTGTTTCTGATATGGCATGTCTATTGCATATGTTTCAATATCAGAACTGAAGTGAAGAGTGGGTAAGCTCCCTGCTAGACCAATCAGACACTGTTTTTTTTAAGAAAAATGGATATATTTTCGAGTGCACTTTGCTAGCAGTAGTTTAGTTAGTCTGCAATACATGTGATAAGAGAAAAAATGGAATAATAACAATCTTTTCTTTCGTTTGAAGCTAGAACATTTACCGGAATAATAACACAGAATTTTGAAAAATTAGAATCCAAAAACCGCACAAATCCAAACCGAATCAAACCGCACTTAATTGGATCGGATCGGATTTTTTTTAGAAACATCCAAACCGATCCAAACCTCAAAAATTTATACTTTCGGATCGGATGAATTTATAGCCAAAAACCGATCCAAACCGACCGCGAACACCCCTAGTTTCGAGTCTGTTTTGGCCGGGATGCATTGTTGTCTGTTTTTTAGGTGCATTGGTGAGAGTTCGATTTGTGGTTTTTGGGGTAGTTTGTGCTATATGTGTGAAGCTTGGCCCCAGTTTGTTTAATTGGGTTTTTGGATTCGGTTGTTTACTTTTACGGTGTAATTTTTGGTTGTAAAAAGTTTAAATCGGAAGTAAAAAGTTCCCATGTACTAATATATATGTTTAATTAAAAAAAAGCAAGTTGCAAAGGAGAAAGAAGAAATTTTTGTTATGTGCTAGTTTCATAGCAGAGTTCACTGTATATTTAACTTTCGTTGGTGATTCACAACTTCATTGATATAAAAAATGCTTAAACATATTCATCCTTGTATGTATTATCTGATTTGGTCATTTCCATCTTGATCAAAATATAACTTCTTGTGCTTCAATGGAATGTTTCACTCCTTTGTTGTTATTATGTTATGATGTTATTTTGGTTTGTACTGGTGAAACCAAAATTACTGCTTTCTTCATTTTAAATATGATTGTCTTCATTGCAATGCGGAGTTAGTTCATGCTTTTTCCATGTTTATTGTTCTTTAATTGTTGGTTTTGTTTTGTTCACTTTCTCTCATGTAAATGTCTTTTTCAGTATAAATGCTTGTAAATGTTCTCTTTATTTCTGACTCATGTATTCTTAATTAAATTTTCACAGTACCATCATATGATTATATTGCAAATACTTGTTGGCTTGTAGCCTTTATGCGGTTTTGCTATGATCATTTCCTTTTAATACAGAAGCCTCTATGTTGCTATGATCATATGATTATAATGATGCATCATTATGAACCTATCTCAGGAGGATCTGTGTATAGTTGCAATGATCATGCCTTAGAGATCGTTGGTGTGAAAACCATCAAATTGAATATGTATGATGGAACAATTAAAGTTTTTCGAGATATGCGACACGTGAAAGGCCTAAAGAAAAATTTATTATCTTACGGATTGTTGGATAATAATGCAAGAAAGATTGAAACATGGAAAGGAATCATGAAGGTGTTCCGTGGAGCGCTTGTGGTGATGAAAGGCGAAAAGATAGCAATAAACTTGTACATGCTGAAGGGAGAGACTTTGCTAGAAGCAGAAGCCTCTGTTGCCTCATGTAGTTCAGATTCTGCAATGCTATGTCATCAGAAACTTGGACACATGTCAGAATAAGGAATGAAAGTCCTTGTGGAGAAAAAGCTACTTCCAGGCTTAACAAAGGTATCACTTACTTTGTGTGAGCATTGCATAACAAGTAAACAGTACCGGTTGAAATTCAACACGTCAAATTCTAGAGGCAAAAGTGTTCTAGAATTGGTTTATTCTGACGTATGGCAAGCACCAGTTACATCCCTAGGTGGAGCAAAATACTTTGTCTCATTTATTGATGACTACTCCAGGAGATGTTGGGTGTATCCTATTAAAAAGAAGTCAGATGTGTTTTCAACTTTCAAAAACTTCAAAGCACGGGTAGAACCTGATTCTGGAAATAAGATCAAGTGTTTCAGAACAGATAATGGAGGAGAATACACAAGTGAAGAATTTGATGACTTTTACAAGAAAGAAGGCATCAAAAGACAGTTCACAGTGGCGAATACTCCTCAACAAAATAGAGTGGCAGAGCAGATGAACAGAACCTTGTTACAAAGAACAAGAGCAATGTTGAGGGATGCATGCCTAGAAAAATCATTCTGGGTAGAAGCAGTCAATACCGCCTGTTATTTGGTGAATCGAGCTCCATCAACTGCAATAAGCTGAAGACACCAATGGAGACGTGGACTGGTAAACCAGCTAATTATTCAAACCTCCATGTATTTGGAAGTATAGTGTACGTGATGTACAACTCCCAAGAAATTTCAAAGCTGGATCCAAAATCCAGGAAATGCAAATTCTTGGAGTATGCTTATGGTGTAAAGGGGTATTGCTTGTGGGATCCCACTGCCTGCAAAGTGATCATTAGTAGGGATGTTATATTTGTAGAAAATAAACTACAAAGAAAAGAAGACGATGATAGCGTTGAAAAGTCAGAGACTACACATATACATATGGAAAATGAGTTGAACAAGGAGATTTTTCTGAATCAGAACCAGCACATGATGAACAAGAACCAGAGAGTTCTGAAGCTCCAATAACTCGTTAATCAGATCGTGTGAGAAGACGTCTCAATTGGCACTCAGATTATGTTATAGAAGGAAATATTGCATACTGACTTTTAACAAAGGATGGTGAGCCATCAACATACCAGGAGGTAATAAACAGCTCAGATGCTCTATTGTGGATGATGGCGATGCAAGAAGAAATTGAAGCCCTTCATAAAAATAATACATGGGATCTTGTGCCACTACCACAATGAAGGAAGCCAATTGGTAACAAATGGGTCTTCAAAATCAAGCGAAATGGTGATGATCAAGTGGAGAGGTATCGTGCAAGACTAGTGGTCAAAGGATATGCTCAAAAAGAATGTATTGATTTCAATGAAATCTTTTCTCATGTGGTTCGACTAACAACAGTTCGAGTAGTTTTGACAATGTGTGCTACATTGAACTTACATCTAGAGCAGCTAGATGTTAAAACAACTTTTCTTTATGGAAATCTTGAAGAAGAGATTTGTATGCTCCAGCTTGAAGGTTTTGAAGAAAATGAAAAGAAGAATTTGGTTTGCAGGTTGAACAAATCTTTGTACGGTTTAAAGCAGGCGTCGAGGTGTTGGTATAAGAGATTTGATTCCTTCATTATGTGTCTTGGATACAACAGACTTAATGCAGATCCTTGTGCTTATTTCAAGAGGTCTGGTGATAACGATTTGGTTATATTGCTGTTGTATGTGGATGACATGTTGGTTGCAGGACCCAATAAAGATCATATTGAAGACTTGAAGGTAAAACTGGCTAGGGAATTTGAAATGAAGGACTTTGGATCAGCAAACAAGATTCTAGGGATGCAAATTTACCGAGACAGAACTAATAGGAAGATTTGGCTTTCACAAAAAAATTACTTGAAAAAGATCTTGTCAAGATTCAACATGCAAGATTGTAAGCCAATTTCTACCCCTCTTCCTATTAACTTCAAATTATCCTCCAGTATGAGTCCTGGCAGTGAAGAAGAGAGGATGGAGATGTCTCGAGTACCATATGCATCAACAGTAGGAAGTTTAATGTTCGTTATGATATGCACAAGACCAGACATTGCACAAGCAGTGGGAGTGGTTAGTCGGTACATGGCGAATCCAGGAAAAGAGCATTGGAATACAATAAAGAGGATCATGAGATACATCAAAGGGACATCAAATGTTGCATTATATTACGAAGGATCAAACTTACTTATCAATGGGTATGTCGATTCTGACTATACAGGGGATTTGGATAAAAGCAAATCTACTACAGGATATGTGTTCAAAGTTGCTGGTGGAGCTGTAAGCTGGGTTTCAAAATTGCAGTCAGTTGTGGCTACATCCACAATAGAGGCAGAATATGTAGCAGCTACACAAGCCAATAAAGAAGCAATCTGGTTGAAGTTACTATTGGAGGAGCTTGGGCACAATCAAGAGTATGTCTCTTTGTTTTGTGACAGTCAAAGCGCCTTGCATTTAACAAGGAATCAAACATTTCATTCAAAGACAAAGCGCATACGAGTTCAGTATCATTTCATTCGTAAAAATGTGGAAGAAGGGACGGTAGATATACAGAAGATCCATACCAAATACAACATAGCAGATTTCATGACGAAAGCGATCAATGCTGATAAATTTACTTGGTGTCGATCCTCTTGTGGCTTGTCAGAGACGTAAGCAACATGATGGACAAGGTAGAAAGAATGGTGTGAAGATATGATTGTTCCAATCAAATCTTCAAGTGGGAGATTATTAGTTGTCATGCAATTTGTCAAGCTAGTTGGCATCAATAATGGTTCATAGTTGAATAATGCATTGAAAGTTGGCAACAATAATGGTTGAAAAGTGACATGGGAAAATTATACATTTTAGTCATTGTACTTTAGGGTATTTACAAGATTAGTCATTAAGCTTCAACTATAAATACCCTAACTCATTTAGCTTCAAAATCATCCCAAAGCATTCTAGCTTTCTCCCAATACTAGAGAATCTAGAGAGTTTATTGATATTTGTTTTCTCTTTTATATCAAGAGAGAATTAATTCATATTTTCTCATAGTGAAATTCTTCTACATTTGCTCGTGATTTTTATCCTATATTATTTAGGGGGTTTCACGTAAAATTTATGTCTTCTTTATTTTCATTTTTTATTTTTTCAAATTATCAGTTGTGATTTTGCTCTATTTGATAGCTGTATTCCGCAACACTGTAATGCATAAGCGAGCCTCCTCTGAATTTTACAATTTCATAGCGGACAAAATCAGTCGGAGACTTGATGGTTGGGACAACTAATCCTTATCTTTTGCCGGAAGAGTTAGTCTTGCAAACTCAGTCTTGTCTGTCATTCCAACGTATTTCATGCAAACATCTCGGCTGCCTTCTCGTATATGTAATGCTATCGAAAGTTTAATCAGGAAATTCATTTGGGGTTATTCCAGCCATTCTCAAGGTATTCCGCTTGTTAATTGGTCCACTATTTCGCAGCCTCGAGCTCATGGTGGATTAGGTATCCGCTCCATCGAGAACCACAACACTGCATTTCTAATGAAAGTCTGCAATAGTCTCGTTAACAACACTGATGCTTACTGGATTTCTCTCCTTCGCCAAAAGTATATAATGGTTGATTAATGCCCTACCTCCCTCGACAGACCGAAGAGCTCTGAGCTCCCATCTTTGGAGAGCTCTTTCTAATGTTTGGCCAATGTTCTATGGTTTCCTGTCCTGGTCTATCGGAGATGGAGCTAGCGCTCGTTTTTGGCATGATGTCTGGGTGCCTAACTTGGGACCTTTAACTTCTCACAAAGATCCCAATGTTACAGTCAATGATAACTTTCTCGTTTGTGAAGCTCTCTCCACTAATGGTGATTGGAATTGGAACATTCTGAACAATCTCTTGCACCCTCGGCTGTTCTTCACGTTCTAATTATCCCTCCCCCAGCTTCACATTTGGGTCTTGATCGCTTGTGCTGGGCCGATGGGCAGAATGAAACCTTCTTCGTTAAATCTGCTTATCGCCGAATTTCCAGCTCTGACTGGAACCCCAAAAACCCAACCTGGTCTTCCTTCTGGAAACCCAGGGTTCCTGAAAGAATACGATACTTCACCTGGCTCGCCTATCGTGACAGATTACTCACTAACGTCAATCGGTGCAAAAGAAATATCGCAAGCAGTCCTCTTTGTGATATCTACGGTACTAGTGATGAAACTACTCTCCATATCCTCCGTGACTGCACTGAAGCAAGAAAGCTCTGGATGTCCATCATCCCCCCCAATGCTGCGAACAGATTCTTTACCCTTTCGTTGGAGCATTGGCTTCTTGATAACATTAGCTTGAATCATCTTCTCCATGGAACCACCATCCCTTGGAAAATAGCCTTTGTTTCTTTGGCTTGGCAACTTTGGAAACGTCGTAACTCTTGTATTTTTAATGGCGAGGGCCCCTCAAATGCAAATCTTAAACGTGAAGCTAACTCTGTGGCTCACAATCTTGCTAAATTCGCTTCTCGCTCCGATTGGGTTGTCTATGGAAATTCGGACTAATATACGGTTAATATACGATATTATCGAATATATTAAAAGATATTTGATAAATTTGGTTTAGCGTTACCGGAAATATCGAGTAATAATAATGTAATAGGTAGAAATCATGAAGAAATATTAAAAAATTTGACAACCGACAAACTTAGCTTGTCGGTTTGTGTTGATACTTTATAAAAATATATTGATATATAACAAGTAAACAATGATAAAACCGGTTTATAAATGACAAAACAGGTAAAATGTTACCGGATATATTGAAAGTGTCAATACTTTGTAAAAATATATTGATCCATAACAATATAACAGGTAAAAAATGATAAAATCGGTCTATAAATGACAAAACAGGTAAAGCGCTACCGGATATATTGAAAGTGTCCATATTTTATAAAAATGTATCGATCCATAACAATATAACAGGTAAAAATGACAAAACCGGTCTATAAATGACAAAACAGGTAAAGCGCTACCGGATATATTGAAAGTGTCGATACTTTATAAAAATGTGTCGATCCATAACAATATAACAGGTAAACAAATGACAAAATCGGTCTATAAATGACAAAATAGGTAAAGCACTACCGAATATGTTGATAGTGTCGATACTTTATTATAAGTATCGACACTTTTGGAATTTAAAAGAGAAGAAGTTATAGCGCTAATAAAGTGTCGATACTTTATAAAAATGTATCGATCCATAACAATATAACAAGTAAAAATATGACAAAACCGATCTCGAAATGACAAAACCGGTAAAGCGCTACCGGATATGTTGAAAGTGTCGATACTTTATTATAAGTATCGATACTTTTGGAATTTAAAAGAAAAGAAGTTATACTGCCAATAAAGTGTCGATACTTTATAAAAATGTATCGATCCATAACAATATAACATGTAAAAATATGACAAAATCGGTCTCGAAATGACAAAACCGGTAAAGAACTACCGAATATGTTGAAAGTGTCGATACTTTATTATAAGTATCAACACTTTTGTAATTTAAAAGAGAAGAAGTTATAGCGCCAATAAAGTGTCGATACTTTATAAAAATGTATCGATCTATAACAATATAACAGGTAAAAATATGACAAAATCAGTCTCGAAATGACAAAACCGATAGTAAAAAAGTGTGCATGTGTGGTCATTTTTATTTCAGAATTTTTATTTTTTAATACAAAAAATTGAATATTTTAAGCAAAACCCAGTAAGAAATCCACCATGTTATAAGTTTCTCAAAGAACAAAAACTCAGAAACCGACATCTCTCAACTCAAACTTATGATATACTTTTATTATTTCCATAGGATAAAGTTATGTCAGTTTTAGTTTTATTTTTTTGGTTAGGATTTTGTGTCATTGAAACTGTTGATTGAAGAACTCAAACTGGTGCACGCATAAGTGTTTATGCATTTATGAAAAGTATCGATCCAAAAAACATCGAAATCGATAATTATTATGTAATAGGTAAATTTACAATGTAACCGGTAAAAATATACTGGTTAATTAGTAAATAGGTTTACATTATGTATTGACACGCTTTAAATATGTGTCGATATTTTTTTGCCAAAATGAAAACACAACGAGGTGCACGCATAAAGTGTCGATACATTTAAAATTGTATCAATCACAAAAACATCAAAAATCGATAATTATAATGTAATAAGTAAATTTACAATGTTACCGATTTAAATATATATGTTTAATTAGAAAATAGGTCAATATAAGCGCTACCTATTACATTATATAAGCGATGCCTTATATATTATTATACTTGATAATATTTTTGATTAAATAATATAATATAATCGATCTAAATTTTAACCGATCATTTATTTAATAAATCACGCTATTTTTTAATTTTTTTAAAACGCCGCACAACAAAAGTTCTCCTCCAATGGATCTGTTCACACACTTCAAGATTTACCATCCTCGATTTCCAGTCTGCTCTATCGTGACACTCACGGCCCTCCCTACCTAAGCGCCATCGCAACTGCCATGTAAAGGCTCTGCCTCCTTTATTAAAAAAAAGATTATAGAGGTCACTAGTGATTTATTCTTTTTTTTTATTTAGACAAATAATCGTAATGGGTGAAAAATGAATATTGGCTGATGTTAAAGAATTTTGTTGTATTTAAAAAAAAATAGGTAAAGGGTGACTTTCTAATCTAGAGTTAAGGCATACCTAAGACTTAATTAAAATTTATAGAAGACTTTATAGATTATCCATCAAAAGTGATGGTAGTGTGATTCAAATTTAACCTTACAAACTTAAATTTCTGAATCTATACCATTTGTACCAACACTAATTGACAATAACTTTACTCTATGACAAGATAGGACATAACAAAATTAAGTTAAAACATAACAGAGTTAAGATGAAATGGTTCCATTAAGGTTACATCCGGTCTCTCATTATAATAAAATTAATACAAATTTTAAAAGCTATTAATATTATTTTAAAATAATTGATATTACAATTTTTTTTTATCTTCAACACTACTGTTAGGTACAATCAATATGATATAATATATTTTCGCGTATAATGTTTGTAGGATATTGGTGATGTGGGTATAATAACACGATTTCATGGGTTAAGAAAGATAATTATAAAATAGTATTTGTTAATTTTTTTTAATTATTTTATAATATATATTCAAACATTATTTTAGATAATATATTTAAATTTATCTAAAAATAATAATCATTCTTTTTAATTGTCTGAGTGCTTGGTGCGTATTAATATAATAATTAATGTTATATAAGTTCTAATATTTTATGTACATTATATCTTTATTATATTTTTACTGTATAATCATGTATTTAGAAAAAGAATAGGAAAAGAAAAGCATCATTGAAGTTGGGTGATGTGCGGTCCCTTCAAGTTATTAATCACTAGTGGAGCTTCCACTAACGCCACTTTCCGGGAAAAAAGAAAATTGTTGCGTAACACTATAAAGTGCACTGCTAAACAACCATAGGCTAAATCCACCATCATGAAATCCCTTCACCTCTTCCTCCTTGCATTATTTCGCAACCGTCTTTCAGTTGAATCCCGAAACTAGAATTTAACTTGAAAAATATAGATTAGAGTCATCACCGATCATTTATTTAAAATAAATGGGTTGATTGGATACCCTATTTCTTACATGATCTACGTCTTTCCAAAGATGTGTCGGATTCGGGAGTCGGTTACGGTCAAGAAAAGATTAACACCCTTGAACCGTTCTTTCGGTACTACGTAATTTTCAGTTGTCTTTGATTAAGAAAATTGCAAGTTAAATTAAAAAGGTAAAATTTGATCCAAATTACTTACCCTTAATGAGTTTACAAAAATACCCTTAAAAAATAAGATTTTAAAAGAAAATAATAATAATGAAAGAAAGTAACAAAACTAAAGAGTAAACTAAGGAAATAAATGAAACCAATAATAATAAACAAAAAATAATTGGATGAAAAAAAATGAAATTGAATAAAATAAAATAAATGAAGATAAAATATATATACAAAAAGAATAAAAAAGGTAAATTGTTTTTTTTTAAAGAAAAATAATAATAAGAGCAAAGAAACTAAAAATATAATGAAAATAAATAAATAGTATAAATAAAATAATAAAAAAATATATATAAAAATATAAAAATGTATTTATAATATAATAAAATACTAAATATTAATAATAATAAATAAATGAAAAATAAATATATATATTAACTAAAAAAATAGTAATCATAAAAATATAAAATAAAATAAAGTAAGAATATATATATATATATATAACGTTAGAAAAATATAGTAAAAAAAACATAGTAAATAAGTAAACATAGATAAAAAATAATAATATAATATATATAATAATAGGAAAATAATATAATATAACGCAAAGAAAAATGAAAAAATTATAATAAATAAATAAATAAAATATAATTAAATATATATATATACATATAAATAATAAGGGTTAAATTAAAATAAAAAATAAATTAGAGATCAAAATTAAAAGCCAATCGAAGAAAAAAATGACAAAACACGCGGATTCACACGACCCGTTTATAAAAATCCGAATAGTTTTTCAAAAACACAAGCCTCGGGGACTAGATCTACAAAAATAGATCTCGAAAACGCCCCCGTTCATCGGCCA